GTATTTGTATCAGCTGTATTCCTCATTAAAAAGAACTCAACGTAGTGCTTTATCCTTTTAAAACTTTTATTCATCAATTAAACATATGAAATACTCATGTTCCTGAGGTGTATTTTGCACCAGGTATGATGAAGATCCAGTGCTGTGCTGATTAAACACTAGATGGCAGTAGCATCTCAGCAGCAGAATCCTGTACATGCTCAAAACAGACACCATCCGACACTCTTCCTCGCCGCGTTTCGGCACTAGTCACGTGACTTTATCAAGGGATAAAGTGTGCGGATGACATCACGATATTGCCATTCATCAGGATAGCGGCCTGTAGTACTCTACAAACATCTCTTGGAATGACATTACAGCAGGCAATAGCACTCATTGAGCGTACTTTGTCTTGCATTACGTTACGGATGGTGTCTGTTTTGAGCATGTACAGGACTCTGCTACTGAGATGATACTGCCATCTTGTGTTTAATCAGTGTATCACTGGATCTTCATCATACCTGGTGCAAAATACACCTCTGGAAAATGAGTGTATTTCTTATGTTTAATTGATGAATAAAAGTTTTAAAAGGATAAAGTACTATGTTGAGTTCTTTTTAATGAGGAATACGGCTGATACAAAGACGCTCATCAGGAGGGAGCTCACTTTGGAGTCTTCATTCAGCAAGCTGATCTTCTGAGTCCATATGGGACCAAAAGTGCAGTTAGATCGCAACATTGTATAATGTGAGGTCACACTGCGTGAGGTGAGCAGATATATGGTGGAGGATGTCTTTGCACAGGAATTGGTGACAGATGCACATATTTTCGTTATCCTAAGAAGGGTTCACTGAATGAATACTTTATTGATTAAAGTCGATTTTTTTGAATGACGTTTGTTTGATTCATACTTAAAAATATTCTTTATTTTTTGTGTGGTTTTTGTTTTTATATATATATTTTTTTATATATACTTATATTTTTATTATTAATATTTTTCTACTATTTTTTATATATATATATATATATATACATACATACATACATACATACATACATACATACATACATACATACATACATACAGTGGGGATCGAAAGTTTGGGCACCCCAGCTAAAAATTTGTATTAATGTGCATAAAGAAGCCAAGGAAAGATGGAAAAATCTCCAAAAGGCATCAAATTACAGATTAGACATTCTTACATTTTGTCAACAAAAGTTAGATTTTATTTCCATCATTTACACTTTCAAAATAATCGAAAACAAAAAAATGGCGTCTGCAAAAGTTTGGGCACCCTGCAGAGTTAATATCTTGTACTGCCCCCTTTGGCAAGTATCACAGCTTGTAAATGCTTTTTGTAGCCAGCCAAGAGTCTTTCAATTCTTGTTTGAGGTATCTTTGCCCATTCTTCCTTACAAAAGTCTTCCAGTTCTTTGAGATTTCTGGGCTGTTTGTCACGCACTGCTCTTTTAAGATCTATCCATAGATTTTCAATTATGTCGAGGTCAGGAGATTGTGAAGGCCATGGCAAAACCTTCAGTTTACGCCTCTTGATGTAGTCTCCCGTGGATTTTGAGGTGTGTTTAGGATCATTATCCATTTGTAGAAGCCATCCTCTCTTTAACTTCAGCTTTTTCACAGATGGCATCAAGTTACCATCCAAAATTTGCTGAAATTTTATTGAATCCATTTTTCCTTCTACTCGTGAGATGTTCCCTGTGCCACTGGCTGCAACACAACCCCAAAGCATGATTGATCCAACCCCATGCTTAACAGTTGGACAGAGGTTCTTTTCATTAAATTCTGTGCTCCTTCTTCTCCAAACGTACCTTTGCTCATTCTGGCCAAAAAGTTCAATTTTAACCTCATCGGTCCACAGAACTTGTTTCCAAAATGCATCAGGCTTGTCTATATGTTCATTTGCAAAGTTCAAAGGATGATTTTTGTGGTGAGGACGTAGAAGAGGTTTTCTTCTGATGACTCTTCCATGAAGACCATATTTGTACAAGTATCTCTTTATAGTGGAATAGTGTACCACAACTCCAGTGTCTGCCAGATCTTTCTGGAGGGATCATGCAGTCAAACGTGGGTTTTGAATTGTTTTTCTCACAATCCTGCGAGCTGTTCTGTCTGATATTTTTCTTGGTCTTCCAGATCTTGCTTTAACTTCCACTGTTCCTGATGACTGCCATTTCTTAATTACATTCCGAACAGAGGATATTGACATCTGAAAACACTTTGCTATCTTCTTATAGCCTTCTCCAGCTTTGTGAGCGTCAACTATTTTCAGTTTCAGTTTTCTAGACAACTGCTTAGAAGAACCCATGGTGCTGATTGTTGGGGCAAGGTCAGATGAGTCTGGGCATTTAAACCTTTGAGATTGACATCACCTGGTCTTCCCAGACGATGATTGAGAACAATCCATGACACTGGCAGGTCTCAGCTTGGCAAAGGGGGCAGTGCATGCTATAAATTCTGCAGGGTGCCCAAACTTTTGCAGACGCCATTTTTTGTTTTCTGTTATTTTGAAAGTGTAAATGATGGAAATAAAATCTAACTTTTGTTGACATATTATAAGAATGTCTAATCTGTAATTTGATGCCTTTTGGAGATTTTTCCATCTTTCCTTGGCTTTTTTATGCACATTAATACAAATTTTTAGCTGGGGTGCCCAAACTTTCGATCCCCACTGTGTGTATGTATATGTGTGTATGTATGTATGTATATGTATGTGTATATATATATATATATATATATATATATATATATATATATATATATATATATATATATATATATAAATTTTTTTTTTTTTTTTTTTCAATTTGTTTTTTGGTTAATTAATGGATTGTGCCATTGTTTCATGTAGCGCAGCATTTTTTTTACTTCACATTTCAGTGGTCCCTGTTTACATGAGTGTGAACAGGGGCCATTGAAATGAATGTGATTTTGCTTGTTGAGCATCTTCTAGCTTTGAGGTTCAAAACACTCATGTGTGAATGCAGCCTAACCCTGGGTTCACACTTATGCGCACTTCAGTGCAATTTCCAGTGTGCTGAAACGCAATACAATCTATTTACCATGGTTTCCTATATATCTAGTTCACATGTGCGTTTTGAGCTGTTGTGTGCTTTGTAAAGGGTCAGGGACTTTTTTTTTCCCCACAGCAGATTGCATTTTGCGTGTAATCGACTTTAATGAACTCACACCAGAAATGCAAAAGTTGCGTTTTTGATCCGTTTTTTTTGTTTTTTGCTAATAGGATAGTATGAGAGTTCTGTTCTTGTAGTGTGACTTTGATGCAACTTGAGTGCCGGAGAGTGTAAAGTCACATCAAAGTCACACTGCATGAACAGAACTGTCACACTTTCCTTGTTATACATACATACAGTGGGGATCGAAAGTTTGGGCACCCCAGCTAAAAATTTGTATTAATGTGCATAAAGAAGCCAAGGAAAGATGGAAAAATCTCCAAAAGGCATCAAATTACAGATTAGACATTCTTACATTTTGTCAACAAAAGTTAGATTTTATTTCCATCATTTACACTTTCAAAATAATCGAAAACAAAAAAATGGCGTCTGCAAAAGTTTGGATCAAAGTCACACTGCATGAACAGAACTGTCACACTTTCCTGTTAGCCAACCCCCCCCCCCCCCCCCCCCAAAACACATAAAAAGAGCATCACAAATGCAAAACGCGCTGGAAAATCCATCAACTGAAAGTTGCAGAGATTTGAACTTTGCCTAAGTCCTGCAGGGTCTGAGATTATTTATACAATTTCTAGGAATAGGGCTCTGAGAGCTTCTTCCTTTTGCTTTAGTTTTAGTGGGGATGTGTCTTGGTGATGGTGGTTACTGGAAGACTATGGAGCATGGAGGTCATGATTGAGCAGAGGAATCTACCACTGGGGGACAGGTGTTGTGCTCGTTTTGTAGATGTAGTGAATAGGTCTTGGGCCTTTTTTACACTAGTGTTGTCCTCTTCATTAGATTGCTTTTCAGAAGGCATTTGGCAGGCGGTGCCGAGGAATTATATCACCTTCTCACTACCTGTTTTCACCCTTTAAACTTAAAGTGATACTAAAGGTTATTATTATTTTTTTAGTTAAAGTAAAAAAGAGGTTGTCTCCTCTTTGGGAGTCCCTTGCCAGCTCTTTCTTCTCCTTCCTCCTCTGGGTGCCTAGTTAACAACAAGCCGGGTACTAAGGGGGCACACGTGTGTTTCCATAGACACACAAAGCCTGGTAAGCCATGCCTACATTGCCTATGGCTCCCATTGCTCTCAGTGTCTCCTGTAAGACCAGGAAGTGAGAGTAGTGCTGCAGCCAGGACAGCACTGGATTGGTAAGAAGAGTCAGGTATGTGTTTAGGGATGGGGGTGGGTAGGGTATGTAGTGTTTTCTTTTTACCATAATCCAAAGAATGCATTAAGATAAAAAAAAAAAATTTGGCTTTAAAACCACGTTCACCCCTTGAACTCCACGCCACAACCACATGCTTTGCATGCAGCTGTGGGTCACCCCCATTCAGTTAAATGGGTCACATTCAGCGGGTCGAACTGCCCACCGAATGTGACAGCATGGATCATTTTTGCTGTGCCAAGGCCAAGACAAATGTATGCCCCTTTCAGCTGCTTTTGCAGCCTAAGATCGAGTAGTATTGTAAACCAGGCCTACTGATCGCAGGTGCAACGCTCTGCAGGCTGCTTAAAAGAAAATAAATGCTCATTTTTTTACCTGCAAAAAAATGTGCACTTATTATTTTTTTTACAAAAGGTGAACTAATCCTTTAAAACCAGAGTTTAGAGTCACTTTAACAATCTTTATAAAAAATGAAAACCAGAGAACCTTTAACTCTTTGCTGGAACTGTGAACGCCTATGGATTAGAAATGTAAAAGTGTTGTGTTAGAATTCCATTGTTCATTTTTAGTCGCCTCCTGTACATCTTCTGGCATTTTACATTGTATGGGTACATTATTGTATTTACTGTTATTATAGTGTAACTTTTTTCTCATTAGGGCTCTGGAGTCATTAAAGCTGGCTTTGCTGGTGATCAGATCCCAAAGTATTGCTTTCCTAACTAGTAAGTACTTCTTTATGGATGAACCAGCATGCGGCTGCTGTACAGGGTGACGTTTGTAACCTTTTGTTGTATTTCTTCTTAGTGTGGGGCGGGCCAAAGCATATTCGGGTTATGGCTGGTGCCTTGGAAGGAGATTTATTTATTGGACCAAAGGCAGAGGTGAATTATTTTGACCACTCTTTGTAATGGAGCTGCTGAATATTTCTTGAAGTGTTCAAACTGTAAGATATTCCTTCGTTATACTGACGTACATTAACGTTCTAGGAACACAGAGGCTTACTATCTATCCGATACCCCATGGAACACGGCATTGTAAAGGACTGGAATGACATGGAACGCATCTGGCAGTATGTCTATTCAAAAGATCAGCTGCAGACTTTTTCAGAAGAGGTATGGAGGCGTTATCCTTAAACGCTTTGTTATCTATGTAACAAAATAACATACTTTTTAGTAGTCTTCATATGCTGTGTAGTTCCGTTTGCTTGCATTGGGGTTCCAATTTTGTGGCTGTGTCATATGTGAGTGTCTGACACAGACACCCCTCTATTTTTAGTATATTGACCCCAGTGAAGGTGTTTTCCCGAATCTTGTTGGCATTGAACAGCTTTTTTTTTTTTTTTTCTCCATCTGTGTCCAATTGGGGGGATTTTACTTTTCTTCCTGTCCCATAGCCAAAACAGGGAGTGAGAGGAATTCCTACAAGTTAAGGGAATCCCTTGGGGGTCACCAGAACTAGTGTCCCCATTGGAAAATAAATTCCCCTCTATTACTTTTCTGGGGACAACCAAAAATTTGTGGGTTTTTTTTTTTCCTTTTAACCGCCTCCTGTCCACCATATAAGGTAATGACGGGCGTGCGGCGGTTCTCTTATTCTGGGAGAACATCATATGACGTCCTTCCACTCTAACTGCACATGCGCACCCTCAGGGGCTTGGCGACTGGTGGTGCACTGTGTCTCTGGGACTCTGTCATGTGATCAGCTGTGTCCAATAACAGTTGATCACATGTAAATAGGAAATGCCGGTTATCAGCAGTCCCTCTCCTCCTGCTGACAGCTCGTGAGGAGAGGAAAGCCTGTAATCGGGGACATCTACACTGGTCATCAGTGCAGCCCTGTCAGTGCCCATCAATGCCACCTGTAAGTGCCCATCATTGCCATATACCAGTGCCCATCAATGCCACAAATTGGTGCCTACCAGTACACATCAATGCCACATATCAGTGCCCATCAGAGCTGCCTATCAGTGCCACCTAACAGTTCCAATCAGTGCCATATATGAGTGCTGCCTTTCAATGCCCACAAGTGATGCCTATCAGTGCCGCCTCTCAGTGCCCATCACTGCAGCCTCAGCGCACATCAGTGAAGGAGAAAAATTACTTATTTACAAAATTTTATAACAGAAACAAAGAACATTTTTTTTCAAAATGTTCAGTCTTTTTTACTTTGTTTAGCAAAAATAAAAACCCCAGTGGTGATTAAATACCACCAAAAGAAAGCTCTAGCTCAAGAAAATGACAGTTTTGTTTGGGTACAGTGTTTCATGACTGCGCAATTGTCATTCAAAGTGCTAGAGAGCTGAAAGCTGAAAATTGGCCTGGGCAGGAAGTGGGTAAAAGTGCCCGGTAGGCAAGTGGTTAATTTCACTTTCTATGCTAATGGTAAACAGAACAAAGAGGATGGCTCTCCCTATCAGTGATACAAAGCAATAAAAAAACTGACAGGTGTTCTATTCCCTCTTCACTCTTCCCAAAATTAAAAGAACAAAAGGTTTTCCTTTTAGTTATTTTGGTTGTAAAGGCTTAAGGTTTATATCTTAATACATTTTCTACGTAAGGTAAAAAAAAAAAAAAAACACTTTTTGTGTTCAGCCCCTATAAATACCTGTTACATTAGAATGTTTTCCCACAAGATTCAAACAATTGTCACCCAGGAATCACAATTTTTTTTCAATTCGAAAAGATGTGTGGATCTTGGATGAAAACCTAAATAGACCCCATAAGTTGTCACATAAACAGCACCTCTTTGCCCTCTTCTGATATAATGCAGTTTCAAAGCTGATTCCTGACATGAAAGCTGAAAATCACTTTGCCTATTTGGGCTTTATACATTGGAAACCCTGCATGCCCTGTATTGATGGCCTGTGGAGGTACACTGCGTGTACAGAATAATAAAACTACAATATACTAAGCAAATACTGGTTCTTAACTCTTTTGATTGATAAAAAAGAAAACACTAACATTCAGTATAAATCTTCTTTAAATGATATTTAATTCTGTTCCACAGCATCCAGTATTGCTAACAGAAGCTCCCTTAAATCCCCGGAAAAATCGCGAGCGAGCGGCAGAGGTTTTCTTTGAAACTTTTAATGTTCCAGCTCTGTTCATCTCCATGCAAGCTGTGCTGAGTCTGTAAGTGCCTCATTGTGTGTGTGTATATATATGTATATATATATGTATATATATATATATATTATAGTTATCTGCACTCATGTTTTATGGGCATCCTCTTATTGACTCCCGGTTTCTTTTTTTAAAAGTGAAGTTGCTTTTTAACTCTTATCTGCAAAAAAATGTTGGCTGCTGGAGTCTGCTTGGATGCTGTAGACCACCCACAAGCATAATTGTTTCACACATTGGTACATGAGGCTTAAATGTCTCTTTGATATGTCCGTGCTAAATCCTTGGTGTGTTCCTGGTGTTTTCACTGTAACAGCTGCACACCTGGGATTCATTTATTCTGCACTATGAACCATCTTGACTAATTAATAAGTGTAGTCTGGTGTGACTAAAGACTTGTGTGTATGGATGCCTGGGCCTTCTGTTCTGCTGAAACTTTGTACACTGAGTTCATTAAACTATAGAGGCAGCTGGTCTTGCTGTGCGCAGATCCATTTCTGCAGTCTGCTTAAAGAGATCTGAAAGCAGATGGGGTTCAAGTACACCAAGGATGCCAAGGATCCAAGGATGCCTACAGCATGCTATATTTAATACAGAGGTATCTTGGTTTTCTTTACTGGTAGATATGTCACCATAGAGAGCTGCTCATGTACAGTGAATACACTGCACAATAAGGGCTTATTCTGAATGAGCCCTATGTGCGTTCACAGTGCTTTTTTCATATTTAATTAAAAATAGCCAGTGCTCTGGTAGCTTTTAGTTCCACAAAGACTTTATTGAGATAAGGCAAATACAAAATAGGGCTCAGAAGACCATGGCAAACATTACAACAAAGAAAAAAGGAGATTTCAAAAATACCGTACATTAAGAAACTTGTGTTTTTAAAATTGTAAATTACACTAGTTGTCATGCACAGTGAGATTTAAACATGTCTCTCAATACACAGTACCATGTAGCTCTTTTTAAAAAAGGGACATGGACTTCTTTCACTGTGTTTATGCGTATAAGGGACCTAACCTCCGATCCTTCACATCACAGTCCGTTATTACATCAGTGTTCTCAGTTCCCCTGCATATCATATCGTCCCTCCCTTCACATTGCAGTCCTTCGTCCCCCTTCACATTCTTGTCCTCGGACCCCCTTTTTATAACCCCCCTCCCCACTTCAAATTGCTGTTCTCAGCCCTCCTTCATATCATCCCCCTTCACGTTCCTTTTCTCACCCCCTTTATAGCACCCCTCCTTCACATTGCAGTCCCCAGCCCTCCTTCACATTCCTGTCCACACCCCCTTTATTGAACCCTCTTTCACATTGCAATCCTCAGTCCCCTTCACATTCTTGTCCTCACCCCCTTGATAGAACCCCCCCCTTCACTCTGCAATCCCCAGCCCCCCTTCACATTCTTATCATTCCCTTTTATAGCACCCCATTTACATTCCTGTCCTCACCCCCTTTATAGCACTCCCATTCACATTCCTGTTCTCACCCCCTTTATAGAACCCCCTCTTCACTCTGTAGTCCCCAGCCCACCTTCACATTCCTGTCCACATCCCCTTTATAGAACCCCCGCCTTCACTGCAGTCCCCAGCCCCCTTCGCATTCCTGTCCTCGGCCCCCTTTGTAGAACCCCCCCCCCCCCCCCTTCTTAACACTCACTTTACATTCCTGTCCTCACTTGCCCCTTTTTATATAACCCCCTTCACATCATCCCCGGCTTCCCCCATACTTCATAGTAGTGACAGACCCCACTTCCCTGTCCTACTTTACAGTGCAGAGGGTGGAAAGTACAGAAGATCTAGAGCTGACATCGGAAGAGCAGCACAGTGATGGACAGAGGGCGGGAGCTGCCGCAGTTAACTGATTTCTAGGATTGCCCTGCATCATAACAACCAGTGATTTAACTGGGCCAGCTACCGCCCTCCGTTCATTGTTCTGCTTCTGTATGTCAGCTTTGCAAAGAAGACAGTGCCAGCGGCAGCTGGGGGGGGGGGGGGGGGGGGGGAGCCAGCTCCTAAATGGCGGGTCTGGGAGGTACAGTGACTCGGTCCTCATTTGGACCACGGTCCGCCATTTAGAGGGCTGATATAGGGGGTACTGTAATCTTAAACTAAAAATAAAAAACCGCTCATGAAAAGGAAATCTTCAAATAATGTCAGCCTAAAAAGGTGACCATATGCAGAGGAACTAGTAATTTGGCCAGCCAACTCCACTGAGGGAGCCTGGCTGGAGGAATTGGGGGGTCTGGGGGAGAGGGTGTGAGAGGGAGTGGAGGACGAGAAGCAGCAGAATGAAGGATGGGGGGAAGAAGAGGCAGGGACATTAGGGAGGGTAGGGGAGGAAAACAAAAGAGGTGAGGAGGGTAGCAGCAAGGGGAAGGAAAAAGGTGCCCCATTTACATTTTGGTGCCCTTGCCTCCTCCCTACCAGAGCTTGAGTAAGACAAGCTCTGGTAACTTCTAATCTTCTTGGTTTACAAGTTTCTGACACTCATACAAGTGGGCAAATACTGGACTACAGCCCCCTTCATCTGCCTCTTTGCTACCCTTTTGGCATCCAGATTGAAATGTGACTTAGCTTTTGTTGTTCAGTGGAGGAACTGTAATATACAAGCTTTAAATAGATAATAAGGGTGTTTTGTGGCTCAGGTTTATAATCAACCTGCTTTTCCTTCATCCAGCTATGCCACCGGGAGAACAACGGGGGTGGTTCTGGACTCTGGAGATGGAGTAACACATGCAGTGCCAATTTATGAGGGCTTTGCCATGCCTCATTCCATCATGAGGATCGACATTGCTGGCCGAGATGTCTCCCGCTTCCTCCGGCTTTACTTGCGGAAAGAGGGCTACGACTTTCATACCTCAGCTGAGTTTGAAATAGTCAAAACTATCAAAGAGGTTTGTACTGGCTTTTTCCAGAGTGTAGAAAGATGTGACAGGTTGAGTATGGGTTTGGAGCACAGTTAAAAGTGCCATGAGCTTCATAGGGTGGATGGACATACATGCTTGATCTGAATATATTCCTGCAGGGGGGCATCCTCTTAAAATCAGACTTTTGGCTTGGCTAGATGATTGTGTTATTGGGCAGATTTTCAGAAATATTCAGAGTTGGCCATGTGCAGTCAGATCATGCTTCAGCTTTCATTTGCTAACTTATGAGTATTTTCCACTTGTACAGCCTTCTCTTCTGTGCTAAAATTGCTTGTTTTTATTTCACTGCACACTGTGAGCTTCACACAGCGTGCATTAGAAGCTGCATCAAGTTGGACAGAGCCCGCCCCATTACCTGGCTGAAGGACATCCAGCATAATCTAGCTTTTTCCTCCCCAGCCTGAATGTCCCTTTCATTCTTTGGATTTCAGTCTTTGAAACTCAACATCACATATGGGCATTACCTAGGATGCTCTTCATGCAAATACAGCCTATCCAGGAGTACCACTCTCCAGACAGAGACCGCTTTATGAAGACCTTTTTGATATTTGCATAACTCATCCCAAGGACCAGCCTACTGTATGCATCAGGGCTGAGGGCATTTGAGAGGAGTACTAAGGCAAGGTGTTCTGATGAGTTCAGCCTTGATTTGCCTGCAGAGACCCAACAATGATGTCACTGTTATTAAAATAGAGGATTAAGTCTCGGTTCACACTGCGGTGCGTGGAACTGCATGCAATTTGTATAGGAATCGCACCACATTCCTGTTCAATGCACATGCGATTCTTTGTGGTGCGATTTGTATTGTTCCACACAAAAGAGGTGCTGTTTTTGGGGTGACGTTAACCTAACATCGACGTTCACTGCACATTGCATGAACACAGTGCGATTGTGATGCTGTGCGGGAAATGCACAGGAATCTCAAACCACATCAATATGAACCGAGTCTTAATGTAAGTATAAAAATTATTTTTTTTTTAAATTTAATTTGCATATTGATATTGGGGAAGATGGACAAAGTAAGGCAAAAAAATAAGCAGAATAAAGTTCAGCTGTACGCATTAGGCTAAATGAACATCTCAGCATGTTACAAAAAATTCTACTTATATTTTTTATGCAGTTTTCAGTAAGTACATCTTCCATAGACATGAATAACAACTGTGTGGGGAAAAAGAAATGTGAATTTCTCCCTAATGGTTAATAGACAGGCCTGTCATTTAGGGAATTTAATACCCTTTTATGGGGTAAATTAAAAATGCCCCCCCCCCCTTTTTTTCAAGGATACTTGACTTTTTTATTTTTTTTATTTTGTTATATAATCAATAATATCTATTTGATGTGTTTTGATCCTTTTTCTGCTATACTTAGTATCGTATATTGCTTAGTGTTTGGCTAATTATATGCATTATATGGCCTTTCACCATGCCATGAAATTTAATTTAAGGCTACCATTTTTTCAAGGGTAAATCCACTCTTCCAACACATGTTATATTGCTAAGTAGCCACTACCTCTTCTGTTCATTGAATCTGTATAGTGATGGACTAAGCTCAAGTGTCTTTCTTGTAAACGGGATCCTTGTGAACAGGCCGTGTCCATGATCTAGCACATCACCAGATGCCAGAACTGTAATGGCTTTGTTAAAGATCCATTTTAATCATAAAAATGTTTCATTTGAACTGATATAGGGTAAGCAGCCTGCTGGCATTTTTCTTAGGCAGCTAGCAGTCTTAGAGGAATCTGTAGTGAAGTGTTTCTTACATTGCATTAGTAGTTCACTGATGTATTATTCTTTTGCTTGGGTTGTGTTTTTTATCAGTACATTTGTTATACCCATGGTACCTATTTTTTATAGTCTGAATCTTTTAGCCAAATGTTTATGAACGATTGTTCTTTTTTTGGTTTTGTGTAGCGTGCGTGTTACCTGTCTATCAATCCACAAAAAGATGAGACACTGGAGACAGAGAAGGCCCAGTATTACTTGCCTGATGGAAATTGAGGTATGTCCCCAAACAACTAGAGACATGTCAGCCATCATTCGTTGACTTTTGCAGGTTGGAAATGTGAACGTACTGTTCATAATGTCTAGAAAATACACACACACACACACATACACACACATACACACACACACACACACATACACACACACACACACATACACATACACACACACACACACATACACACACACACACATACACACACACACACACACACACATACACACACACATACACACACATACACACACATACACACACATACACACACATACACACACACACATTGGCTCCTGCAGTTGTCAATCTAGTTCTGTGACATAGGAGCGGGGGAAACAGGGGCAGGGCCCGAGCCGCACTGTCTGTGTCTATGGATGCAGGCAGCATGACTCTGGATCGTGCCTGCAGGTGGCTTGCTTTGGGTGCATACTCAGAAAAGGAGGAGCTAGGAGCACCATTGAGAAACCTGAGAAGTGGAGGTTTGGGCTACATTGGCTTGCACAGCAAACTATGTATAGAAACCAAAGTTTTTAAGATATTAACATACACTGGTAATATATATATATATATATATATATATATATATATATATATATACACAGTTGCAAGAAAAAGTATGTGAACCCCTTGGGATTACGTGGAGTTTTGCATGAATTGGGCATAAAATGTGCTCTGAACGTTATCTAAGTCACAACAATAGAAGAACACAGTCTGCTGAACATAATACTACACAAACATTAGATGTTGCCATGGTTTAATTGCACATAACATGTAAACATTCACAGTGCAGGGAGGAAAAAGTATGTGAACCTTTGGACTTAATAACTTGTTGACCCTCCTTTGGCAGCAATAACCTCAACCAAACGTTTCCTGTAGTTGCAGATCTGACCTGCACAACGATCTGGAGTAATTTTGGACCACTCCTCTTCACAAAACTGTTTCAGTGTAGCAATATTCATGGGATGTCTGGTGTGAATCGCTCTCTTAAGGTCATGCCACAGCATTTCAATTGGGTTGAGGTCAGGACTCTGACTGGGCCACTCCAGAAGGCGTATTCTGCGCTGTTGCAGCCATTGTTTTGTTGAATTACTTGTATGCTTTGGGTCATTGTCCTGTTGCATCACCCATCCTCTGCGGAGCTTCAGTTGGCAGACAGATGGTCGTACGTTTTCCTGCAAAATGTCTTGATAAACTCTGGAATTCATTTTCCCATCAATGACAACAATCTGTCCAGGCCCTGAGGCAGCAAAGCAGCCCCAAACCATGATGCTCCCTCCACCATGTTTTACAGTGGGGATGAGGTTTTGATGTTGGTGTGCTGTGCCTTTTTTTCTCCACACATAGTGTTGTGTGTTCTTCCCAAACAACTCAATCTTGGTTTCATCTGTCCACAGTATATTTTGCCAGTAGTGCTGTGGAACATCCAGGTGCTCTTTTGCAAACTTCAAACATGCTGCAATATTCTTTTTGGACAGCAATGGCTTCCTCCGTGGTGTCCTCCCATGTACTCCATTCTTGTTTAATGTTTTCCTTATTGTAGATGCGTCAACGAAAATGTTAGCATGTGCCAGAGATTTCTGTAGGTCTTTAGCTGACACTCTGGGATTCTTCTTTACCTCATGCAGCATTCTGCGCTGTGCTCTTGCAGTCATTTTTACAGGACGACCATGCCTAGGGAGAGTAGCAACAGTGCTAAACTTTCTCCATTTGTAGACAGTCTGTCTTACCGTGGACACATGAACATCAAGGCTTTTGGAGATACTTTTGTAACCCTTTCCAGCTTCATGCAAGTCAACAATTCTTGATCGTAGGTCTTCTGAGATCTCTTTTCTGCGAGGCATGGTTCACATCAGACAGTGCTTCTTGAAACCAGTAAACCCAAAACAGGTGTGTGTTTTTTAAGGACAGGACAGCTGTCAGCAACACATCCAATATCATCACACTGATTGGAGTCAAGGTTGGCTCACTCCTGGTTCCAATTAGCTCTGGGAGAAGTCATTAAGCTAGGGCCTCACATACTTTTTCCTCCCTGCACTGTGAATGTTTACATGTTATGTGCAATTAAACCATGGCAACATCTAACGTTTGTGTAGTATTATGTTCAGCAGACTGTGTTCTTCTATTGTTGTGACTTAGATGACGTTCAGAGCACATTTTATGCCCAATTCATGCAAAACTCCACGTAATCCCAAGGGGTTCACATACTTTTTCTTGCAACTGTATATATATATATATATATATATATATATATATATATATATATATATAGTACATCTAGATAGTAAGGGCTAATTGGCATGGCTGTACAATGTACAGTTTGAGCATGTTTATCTGCCTGTAAGCCACAGGTGCTGCACACAGTTGCTCCATAGATCGGCTAAATGCAGGTATACGCTGGTACTCGCATAGAGATCAAAAACCATTTGTATGACCCCAAGCAGCAATGTGCATGGGCCCTCAGCGTTTTGTCCCAGCTAAATGTGCAAAGTTCTGTTCTTTTTTTTTTTTTTTTTTTTCTTTTTTTTAATAGTTGTTTATTCTTCCCTCTGGAAGAAAGGCAAGCCTTTCATATGACGTTTATGTGCCTCTTGACTCTTTCATTAGATGTCTTTATAACTTAATAAAAATCTGTTAAAGATGACATAAAATCACAGTAGGGTATTTGTTTCAGAACTACATAGACATCCTAATACAGTCCTTTATACAGATCACAAGGCATACTGGAATATCTATGCTCAGTGACTCCCCATTGTGTATGATCACTGGGTGTGGTAGACAAGTGGTGCCAGCATTTATGAATGTGTCAGATGTTGCACCTTCTGTTGTCTGTTAATTTTACAGATGTTTCTTCTTCTATGTAGATTGGCCCAGCCCGATTCCGAGCACCTGAGCTGCTGTTCCGGCCAGATCTTATTGGAGAAGAGTGTGAAGGAATTCATGAGGTGTTAGTATTTGCCATCCAGAAATCAGACATGGACCTAAGGCGGACTTTGTTCTCCAACATAGTGCTCTCTGGAGGATCCACCTTATTTAAA